GTGGTCTCGATGCCTGGAGGATGAGAACAGGAGCTCTGGTGCCCGACCATGGGGGACCTGGACAAGGACGGGAGGTAGGGCCTCTGTGTGGACAGCGATCACCTGGGGAAGGGCCAGGGTGGCCGGGGTGGGTCCTGCATTCACCGCCTCAGCAGACCCCTGGGAAAGCCCAGTGCACACCAGGCTCTGAGCTGGGCCTGGGGAAAGGTGATTGGTGAGTGAGAAGGACGGGGTCCTGCCCTCCTGGTGGTGAACACATGGCCCAGCAGTGCGACTGCAGCAGGCTCTGAGATCTGGGAGGGTTAAAGGCCTCTCTCCCATCAAACATGGCGGGGGGCGGGGGAGAGGGCTGGCTGCGCAGCTGCTCAGTTCGGCACAAACCCGTGAACATCTAAAGGGCAGCCAAGCTCTCGAGAGCACCTCACACACCAAGTGGAAATCATTCACATCTATCGCATAGAAGTCATTCACGACCTGGGAATCTTCTACCAGTCACACCCAGTTGTCGCCGGGCCTGGGCTTCCAGTCAGCAGCACAGAGTCACTTACAGTTGTATTCCCAGGGCAGCGTCCACTACCCCATCCTATCTGTGAGCGAGCTGGACTAAGGCCTATGTGTGCAGCCCCCAGGTGGAGAGGAGTGTTTTACATTTTTGTAAGGTTGGGAAGAAAAATCAAAAGGCAAGTATTTGTAACAGGTGGGATGATCTGGAATTCCATTTCCAAGATCCACGTGCAAAGTTTTCCTGGAACACAGCCCACCCACTCCCTGATGGGCTGAGGCTGCTTTCCACTTCGTGACAGAGACGGCATGCTGCAGGAATCCCAGAACTTCTAGAAAAAGCTTGCCCACCATGAGCTAGAATATCAGATGACCCCCAGGGGCTTGTTGGACAATGTCCCAGGCTGCCATTCAAAGACCCTGTGGCAATATTTTGGCCTTATTTCAAGTTCTGAATTACTTTTTTAAAAAATTTTTTTAATAATGAAAGAGCCAACCGGAACTTGATGAGGTGATCAGGAAAAAAAACAAGAATCAGAAACCTGATGACGCGTCTACACCACTCTGTTTTGGTCACGGTCCTCCGGTTCCTCTGGGGTAGCACGTTCTTTATCAAAAGGCTCTCTCCCTTTATACCTCCATGTCTTTATAAGTTATCCAAGTCTCCTAGCCCTGTCCAGGGCCTTGCATGGTGAGTGGACGGTGGCCCTCTGG